GTCTCTAAAGCATCCACAAGATTTTTCAAAGTGATCAAGGGCCACAACTCTGGCAGTAATTATCGGAAATCGTTGAAAATCAAGGATTCTTTGTCTCATGACCTTATACAACAACATTTCAATGTGGGCATATAAAAACATGAATACACTACGCTGAGTAGATTGTAAATAGCTAAATTTTACAACTTTTTTCACCATTAAATCTAAATGGCAGAAATACAAAATTGAAATTAAAAGAACTGAGTTCAACGTTTTATCCACTTGAAGTAGGGTCATCCATCTTGATATATCAAGTTTGTAAAAATTAATATTTGCTTCTGAAAAGACGTTCCTGTCTGTCAAAAAGGCAGTTTTTGTCAAAATTACGTCATGTGCTGTACCGAAAGAAAAACATTTTCGGTAACAAATAAGTTAAGACTTTGCACAGCAGAGCATATACACTTTGTTTTATACAAATCTGACAATAAAAAATTAATCTAGGACCCAAAAACTACATAGCCAATAAATCATAATTTTAAACGATTATAATAAAATGTTTTCGAGGCTAAAAATACAATTTTGGACAAAATGACATTACTTCCGGTGATAAATTAGTTTTACGAAATCATAAATGGCATTGGGCATCACATGGTAAAACACTGATGAAAATCAAATAATAATTGTCATTTTTACAGTCAAAAACCTCCATAATCACTTGTGGAAAACCGCCTATTTCTCCGCAACTGAACAAGTATTCTTGTTATTTATATATTGATTTAAACGCAGTATGAAACCCTTATTAAAAATAACTACTTAAGATAAACGATATTTCAGTATTGAAAGGCTTATTAATTGGCAGAAACTATTTGATAATGAGAAACAAAACTAGAAGGCTTTATACTGAAATTTTAAACATAGGTAACATAATTTATAAATATATACAGTAATGAAACAGTAACTACATTAAGGAGACAAGACCCAAGGGATATTATATCTTATTTATATACAGTAAGAAGACTTGAGAGAGGGAGGGGTTCACTCGATACAAACGAGGTCATTTCAGGACTAACTTATGGTTCAATATTATTTTAGTAATTTGGTTGCACGTAGGAGTCTTTAGCAGTGGGATGAAACAAGAGGACCAGGAGAAAAAACATGAGTTTGGACCAATGGCCATACTCCTTGTCAATTACAAGCGGGTTATCGAAACTTAGCCACTTGACTCAATGACAGACCTTATTGTTTCACGCGCATCATGTTAGTGAACTTTATTCCTGATTAGAATGACCCAGGTTTGAATCTCGACGTGGGCCGAAAAGAACCTAACTGATTCTGCTAGCGCGAGTCCCGATTGGCAGAGGTAAAGCCTGCGGTAAACTGACGAGTAAAGTGTACCTAGTTTTTCGCATCAGACGGAAAAATCCATCATCCCATGCTCACTGTCATGCATGTAAAAGAGCAATTGGCAGTAGAAACTGAAAACAGGTAAGCTGAAATCCAACAGTCTACGCCATATTGTCCATGTAGCTATAGTAAATAAAAACAACCTAGTGTTAGTTTCAAAATAACATAAGATAAGTATCATGAAGATGTTAAACATCATTCCATTTAATATAACAGATGTGATTTGATTGAGATATTCATTGACTTTTAGTAAAGATTACAGGACTCTACAGGCCTAAATATTTTCTATTTTGTTAAACAGAACACATTGTCGTCTTTCCATACTTTAATCCACCAGGCTTCTAACAGGCCATTTATAACAACTGATAAAAACCATCAAGGCTGTAAATCAGAAGTCGGCCATCTTGAGTGGTCTCCATCTTGTATAGCTGTGATGAGGTTATGACACGTTTCTATTTACACCTTACAAGACCACAATATATCACAAATTCTAAAACTCCCCTTCTTTGAGATAACTAGCGACCAGAAAGATATCCAAGTCCACAACCATAAATTAGTCATGGACTGCCAACTAACAGTTATAATAAATAACTGGATGTGAAGATTAAGATATACACGATACCAGGAATCACCACAGGAGAAAGCAATCAGAAACAATGTGTGCACATCAGAAGCAGTCTAAACCAAAATAAGAAAGGTCTGTACCATAGTGTGAATCACTAGTAAATCTCTAAGAAGTAAATCAAACAACAATACTACAAACAACATTGTCATAAACCCCATCTTCTGTTATATTGTCTATCTGGCTGTAAACTGTAACTGACAAATGTTGATCTTCACACCCTACAACTACCCTTTAAGATTAACTAAGAGACACAGATTGTGAGAATATCAGAATGAATATAAGCTAGAAAGCTCACACCAGGGATCGCAAAACAAACTGCTGCATGTAGAAAGCTAAACATATCTCTAGAAAATCTCTCAAGTAAAACCGAACAACCTCAACAGATCAACATTGTCACAACATCTTCTGTTTTGTCTCATCGTTGAACATTGTGTGCAGAAGGATGTTATTTTCGGCATTAATCTCACAGAAATATCCACGACATAACAAATGTTGATCTTCAGACACTACAACTACTCTTCCGTGAGATAAACTAGAGAAACAGTTTGTGAGTATCGGAAACGCATGAGCGATGGCGCGCACATCGCGGATAGAAAACACCGAAAGATAGGCAAGTCTCTAGAAAATCTCTCAGACGTAAAACTAAACAACCTGAACAGATCAACATTGTCATAACACTTCTTCTGTTTGATCACCTCTTTTAGTCTGTCGATTATATAAAAAAATCAGACAGTGTGGATAGTGTTGATAATAGTTCTTGGTGAATGAAGTTTCATAACGCCAATACTCATCTGGCATGTAAAAGGTTGTATGGTAGTATTGTTAGTAAATTAGTATAATTAGTAGATTAGTATGTTATAAATAGTACCCGTATACAAAATACAAAACTATTTACACCTGTTTCGTCTTGTGACCCGAATAGAAATCTACACTAAAAGTCAATGTATATTTTGAATCAAATCAAACCTATTCTTTTAAGTGGGATGGAGTTTAATGTCTTGTAGATATTTACTCAAGTCATTGAGACTAACACATGGTTATATTTTGTTCACTATGATTCAGCATGAAATTTGAGGGAGGAGAATTTAGCCAAGTGGTGGCATTTCCACTTACTCTTCCTCTAATTTTAACTGTCAAGAGTTCTCTTACGTACTCGTTAATGCGACATGGATGGACCCCGGTTCTTTGTCACATCCAAACAACCAGACACACTTTCCTTGTCAGCTACACTGGCGTTACCCATGACAAGTGGGTAATGGGCTTGAAAAACCCCAAAGGCTCTTCTCGACCTTCGTCAGGACTGGAACCCGAAACATGCTAATAAAGAGTACGGTTTCCCGAACGCTTGACTTCCATGGTCTGTTTTTGAATACAACAAAGGAATGTCTCTCACTGTACATTTACAAACTAGGACAATTTAATGGAATAGAATGGCATTATTAAACATACATTTTGCAAGAGCTAAATCTGCCTATTGCAGGTCTTTTTTTTTTAGGCCTGAAATGTTATCTAAATTATCAATTACACATTAATTATTAATTAACTTATTCAGACCATAATGAACTCTTGATGCAATCGCTAGTCGGCGATATTTACTGGATAAGGATCTGATTCGCTGCTCAACTTTCATTCATGATTTAATCATGAAATGGATAATCAAGACTATTTCGACTATTTTTTATTGTACCGATTTTAGGCTGAAAATTCAATCGCTAACTTCTCAGTTCAGAGTGGATCAATTTGAGTGAAATTTTCAGCAAATTCCCTTTACATTATCTAGTTTTTAACTATTGTAGTGAGAGCTGCCAGTTCTTTAATCTCCCATAATGTATCTTTAACACATTACTGCAATGAACTTAGAGAGCGAGCAGAGGGTGGGATGTTATTGTCAAAAATATAACCTTTTATTGCCGATCTGTCATTTTCCTATCGAGATTGTAGCTATATATAAATAATTGCAAATTACAGAAACTCTCAAATTTCCCCAAAATGGTTTGAATGCAAATTCGTCTGAAAAGAATTTGCAAAATATAATAGTCTACCTACAACATCTTATTTTTCATACTTGGCTATGATTTAACTAATACTAGTTAAATATTACCAAATACCACCACATAGTACCTCATTGTCAGAAACTTCCACAGTTGTTGAATTATACAGAAACGAATTGAGTACTTAATTTGAGGAATCTGCTAAATTTTTACAATAAACTGGAGTATAGAAAATCTCCTAAGAGTCATTTTTGATATCAAAAAAGACTCGTATGAGATTTTATTTATCACGCAATCACTTCTTACATGCACAATACTTTTAATAAAATTTGACCTGTTCTTTGAAAATAATAAGTAGTTCCTTTTTGATTGACCAATCAAATTCATGTAAATCGATATCTCCTTAGTTGATTATGAAATTTATCACAGAAGCGATATCTACTGTAGAATGTATTATTGGGTGATAAAGTCTATTTATTGCATCAGTACCCTGTAGCTCAAGCGTCTGAATAAATACCCAAATATGACCAAACATCTCCGAATTCTAACCCAATGCTACAAAATTCAACCACTGACAAAATTGTTTGCTATTTTACAGAAATGGAATATTTCTGATAGTATAGGTTAATATTTTGTCAGTATTGGGTGATCAAGGAAGTAATGGGAAAATTGAGACATTGGCCGACACTTTTGCATACATTTTTGCAAGTTTTCCACAAACTCAATTTTTGTTTAATATAATTGAAGTATTCTGTTAGTTTTTCACAATATTGGGGTAGTATGTAGTTATAGTATTTGGTAGTATTCTGGCTACCCAGAATAATGCTGGAATTACAATTTTGAATCGTTTTTAGTCATTTTTGGCAATTTAGATACCAATTATAGATTTACACATCAATCAGCAGCAAAGTAACTCAAACAATTACTAGCCACCCAAAAGACTTGTTGACAATCATCTGGTATGGCAAATTTTTTTTTTTAAGATAAAGGTTCACCTTTCTAATCGCCCTGTGTTTCACCAAATAAAATGTAGATTATAAAACTACACTGGTGTAGACATTTGAGGCATTTTCGTATAAAATCAACCATAGTTATGATTCGCCTTTTTTGAATATGAACACCTGTCATAGTATAAACTGTCTCATCTTCAGCCAGTAATATGGCCATTATCTCGACCATCTAACGTTAATCATATCTCCCTTTGATCTGTTAATAAAAAAACCAAAAAAAAACTTAATATGAAAAATTTATTTGCAATCTCGCCCATATAAAATAGGCATTATGTTTTCCACAAGTACTTTTTAAGAAATCAAAACCAATCCCTATTTAAAGTAGCTAAGTCTCTAACTCAATATCATCCAAAATCTTCAACATTGTAAACACGATTTATTTGTCAAATTAAATCAACATTCATGTTGTGATCTTACCGGAAAAAGATGGGCTTTTGATATCCAATATTTAAGACAAAATAAACATTTTACCACTGGTACACGAATCGTGTACCATAATGCGCTTCAGACCCAGTTGTATCAAGAGACTCGAGGGACGAGGCTAGGCACATTGCACCAAATCAAACGGCGTATGTAGACTGGAATAACTAGACGCTAGAAATTTGCACTCGCTTGAGACTGCTGGCTTATTTCGCCAAACATAACTGATTTGAAATTGGAGTAAAAACGGAAATCATTGAATGTAAATCAGTTTATATATATGCGTTGCAACCCACTTTTGTCAATTTCTAGGTCCCAAATGTTAGCGATTTAGCTCCTTTAACTATGCCGTAAACATACAAATAAAAGAAAAATAATCCTTCGCACAAAATAATGTTGCCTGAAAATAAACAATATTAAGAGGAGTATTAAAATATGTTAGTCCAGTGCGGTATTAAAATATTTCAGTTCTGTGGCACTGGGGATTTATTTAAAATTTAATTATTTCACCTACAAACCAAATTTGACGTAATAAATGTGGCTGAAAACAACATTAGATTCGAAAACTATCAAGTAAAACAAATCCTGTACAAACTACAGAAGTGGTGAGGGACTCTTGATATGGGGAATTTCAAGTGCCCTATCACAATAAAAATTCACTGTCTCTCGCGGACACATCAACTTAGTGGGTGGGGGGAGGGGATTGAACCGATCGAGTGACATTCAACTAGTATGGGATTCATTGAGTTTCATGGTATGCTTTAAAATATAAATACCATAAAAATTTACATCCAGTATCTACTTCATTACAAAAACGGCAAAACAAAACGCGGAAATACGCCCACACAACAGCCGTAGACAGCTAGATTATCCCAAAGGAAAAATTTGATGTTGACCAAATTTGATATTGAACCTTTTTGAACTCAAGAAAAAACTAATCACTGTTGTGTTCACAAACTTTTCCCCAATCCTCCACTTAGCTTCACACCAAATTTGATCAAAATTGTTAAAGTTAGGTTGCCAAGCAACGAAACATACGGCCACAGCAGCTAAATCGTCTGAGCAGTCGACAAGGGTTGACGCACATTTATTCTTTTGTAGGTAATTGGGGCATTTACAAGACAATTTCGTACAGATCAGATTATAATTGTTTTGTCGTTTGAGGGTTCACAAGGTACTACAAACTGAAACAAGGACCTTAACTCTGGAAGTAATTTACAGAAAATTTTGAAATTTGACATGCTTTTTAGCTCTACTCATTTAAATAATGCTTATAAATTTTATACAGAATGGTTGATAACTTTTGTCATTCGAACATTCACAAGGTTCTCCAATCTGATTAAAACACAGATCCAATTTCATTTCGTTTTTATAGTTCAAAATTTTGATTTTACTTGTCTTTACTACACTTGGATCTGGAAGCGTTGTTATTTAACTCGTGTTCTGCTTGAAATGAGGGGTCAGGCAATCAATCTTCTGTCGAATCGACCGTTTGACCTTTTTTGCGCGGAACTGTGGGCAGACATTAGCGGCAATAGAAATCAAACAAAGCAAAAGTAGATAAAAAGTACATGGCGGTCGCTAATTGGTTAATCGAATGACTGACGTAATCAGATCAAATGTCGCTTGCTTGGTACCTGACGTCATAGAACGTGAACTCCCACTATAACTTGTTAGGTCTACATGTAGTGTAGGCCATCGAAAGTATAAAGATAGGTTGCCCGGCAATGAAACATACGCCCACAGCAGCTAAATCATCCGGGCAGTCAACAAGAGTTGTCGCATATTTTTACTTTTTTCGGTAATGAAACATTTATAATACACTAAAATCTGATTAAGAGCAACAACTCAGAAAACCATTAGAATTTGTTTGGTATTTATAAAGTTCTGCCCCATGCTAATGTTTTGTATACAAAACTTTTAATATCATGGATTTAGGTGTTCCAAGTCATAAAAACTCATTGAAAATCAATATACTTGTTCGTCTCAAGATCTTAAACTCTGTGTATCAATCTGAAGTCAATCGGATGATAACTTTAGCCTTTAGAGCGTCACAAGATTTTGCAAAGTGATCAAGGGCCATAAACTTTGGCAGTAATTATCGGAAATCGTTGAAAATCAATAGGATTCTTCGTCTCATGACCTTAAACACTGTGTATAAATTTAAAGTCAATCGGATATTAACTTTGGCCTCCAGAGTGTCCACAAGCAATTATCTAAATGATGCATATAAATTTCATACAGATCAGATAACTTTTGGTGTTAGAGTGTTCACACTGTTCAACAAAGTGAAACAAGGGCTATAACTCTAGATATAATAAACAGAAATTGCTGAAATTTAATAGGATTCTTCTTTTCACCAATTTAAATGATGCATATTAATTTCATACAGGTCAACAGATAACTTTTGATGTTAGTGCGTTCACAAGGTGCAACAAGTGAAACAAGGGTTTTAACTCTAGAAGTAATTTTTATAAATTGCTGAAATTTAATAGGCTTTGTGGTTTCACTAATCGAAATGATGCATATAAATTTCATACAGATCAGATGATACTTTTGGCGGTAGAGAGTTCATAAGGTTCAATAAAGTGAAACAAGGGCGTTCATAAGTTTCAATAAAGTGAAACAAGGGTCATAACGCTCGACGTAAACGGAAATTGCTGAAATTCAATAGGCGTCATCGTTTAACTAATTTAAATTTCACAATGCATACAAATTTCACAATGCATACAAATTTCACAAAGATCGGACGATAACTTTTGGCGTAACAGCTTTCACAAGGTCCAACTAAGTGAAACAAGGGCCATAATTCTAGATGTAATAAAAGAAAATTATTGAAATTAAATAGGGTTCTTCATCTCACTAATAACATATCAATTTTAAAACAATCAGATCATAACTTTAGAGCGTTCACAAGAAATTGTCGACAACGGATGAGACGAAAATATGCGTCAACATTTCCATGTAGGCGTATAGAAAGCGGTTGCCATGCAAGGTACGCCCACTTTTGGCAAGAGATGGATAAGGAACAAGTTGAAAAACCAGCGGCTGCCAGGCAGGATACGCCCACATTTTCGAGAGATGGATAGAGAACAAGCAAAAAAGAAAGTGTTTTTTCGAACAATCAAGGGCCATAATTCTGAAAATTACAATTCGATATGCGCAAATATGGAAAGAAACCAAGATCTTTGGGTTATAGACTTACATTTCAAGTTTCAACAAAATCGGATAAAAAATTGTGACCTCTATAGGGTCTACAACCTTGATATACATGTACCATATTTTTTACCTTATTTGAGAACGAGGGGCGGCCATTTTGTCTGTTAGTTTATGGCTGATTTTCACGAAATTTGAACACAGCCGTCCTTAGGGTGTAACGGTGATATAATAATACGTTTTTTTAAATCGGATAAAAATTATGACCTCTATAGCTAAAAACGCGATTTTTTGTACAATCAGGGGCCATAATTTAGGAAGTTATGGTCCGATATGGGCGAATATCGAAAGGAACTGAGATCTTTGGGTTATAAACTCACATTTCAAGTTTCAACTCAGTCGTCCTTAGGGTGTAACGGTGATATAATACGTTTTTTTTAAATCAGATAAAAATTAAGACCTCTATAGGGTCCACAAGCTAAAAACGCGATTTTTCGTACAATCAGGGGCCATAATTCAGTAAGTTACGTTCCGATATGCGCAAATATCGAAAGGAACCAAGATCTTTGGGTTATGAACTCATATTTCAAGTTTCAACAAAATCGGATAAAAATTATGACCTCTATAGGGTCCACAACCTTGATATACCATATTTTTACGCTATTTGAGAACGAAGGGCGGCCATTTTGTCTGTCAGTTTTAAGACGATTTTCACGAAATTCGAACTCAGCCGTCCTTAGGGTGTAATGGTGATATATGTTTTTTTAAATCGGATAAAAATTAAGACCTCTATAGGGTCCACAAGCTAAAAACGTGATTTTTCGTACAATGAGGGGCCATAATTCAGGAAGTTACGTTCCGATATGCGCGAATATCGAAAGGAACCGAGATCTTTGGGTTATAAACATACATTTCAAGTTTCAACAAAATCGGATAAAAATTGTGACCTCTATAGGGTCCACAACCTTGATATACCATATTTTTACGCTATTTGAGAACGAAGGGCAGCCATTTTGTCTGTCAATTTTGGGCCGCTTATCACGAAATTAGAACTCTGCTGCCCGTAGGGTGTAACGGTGATATAATATTACTTTTTTTTAAATTGGATAAAAACGTGATTTTTCGTACAATCAGGGGCCATAATTCAGGAAGTTATGGTCCGATATGCGCGAATATCGAAAGGTACCGAGATCTTTGGGTTATAAGAATACATTTCAAGTTTAAACCAAATCGGAAAAAAATTGTGACCTCTACAGTGTTCACAAGCTAAAAACATGATTTTTCGTACAATCCGGGCCATAATCCATGAAGTTACAGTCCGATACATGCCAATATCGAAAAGAACCGAGATCTTTGGGTGATAAACCTATATTTCAAGTTTCATTGAAATTGGATAAAAATTGTTACCTGTAGACTGTTCACAAACAATTGTGGACGGACGGACAGACAAGGGCGACGACAATATACGTCCACATCAAAATGTGGGCGTATAAAAACGATTTATTGTACATTCAAGGGCCATAATTCAGGATGTTACGTTCCGACAAATCAAATACTGTAGCCTCTATCGCGTTAACAAAACTTTTAGTAGGGGAAATGGGAGCGTAACTCCAGAATTTA